TAGGTAAGGTTCCCTCCGCAACTTTTGTCTTCTTTCAAGATTTTTTTCTTTATCTTTGTTTTTTATTTTGATGTTTAAATATGATATGCTTAAGTGCAGTGTGTGTGTGTGTGTGTGTGTATGTTTTCACATTTATTCTGTTTGGTGTTCTTAGACCTCCCTGGGTCTGTGGTTTGGTGTCTGAGAGTAGGGGAAATTCTGTCATTATTGCTTCTAATATTGATTCTGTTCCCTTCTCTTTTGTCTCCTTCTGGTATTCCCATTACAAGTATTTATACCTTTTGTAGTTGCCCCATCATTCTGGAATATTCTATTCTGTTTTTTAAAGTCTTTTTTCTCCTTGCTTTTCAATCTGGGAAGTTTTTGGTGTCATATCCTCAAGCTCAGAGATTCTTTCCTCAGCTGTGTCCAGTCTATTAATGAACTTATCAAAGGGATGCTTCATTACTTTTACAGTGTTTTTGATCTCTAGCATTTTTTATTCCTTGTTAGAATTTCCATTTCTTTGCTTACATTATTTATTTTTTCTTTCACGTTGCCTGCTTTTTCTGTTAAAGCCCTTGGCATAGTAATCATAGTTAAAAAAAATTTCCTGATCATTCCCACATTACAACTATATATGACTCTGGTTCCTTAGTTTCTTCAAACTGTGCTTTCTGCCTTTCAGTATGCCTTGTAATTTTTTGCTGAAAGGTGGACATAACGTACTGGGTAAAAGGGACTGTGGTAATGAGCCTTTAGTAAAGTAGTGGTGAGGTGTTGGGGGAGGAGAAGTGTTCTGTAATCCTGTGATTACGTCTCAGTGTTTTTGAGCCCGTGCTCCTCAACTGTGACCTTCACCAGTGCTCCCCAGTCCCATCTCCCCCGCTGGGTGGGGCAGGATGGCCAGAGGGGGCCGGAGGTGAGTGTGTCCTTTCCACCAGGTTGATCGCGCTCTGATAGAACCCCATCAGGTTAGGCTCTGGTAAATTAATTTCTCATGAGGGTTGCCTTATTAAGAACAGAGTGAGTGCTCCGATGTATTTCAAAATGGATCCTTCCCTCTCCTCCTTCCTGAAAGCAGGTGATTTTTCTCAAATATTCACTGTGAGGACCTGGTAAAACTCCTGTAGATATTAAATAATAAAACTTACCAAAGTGTGCTTCCCCACCCTAAACCCCTCCTCCCATGACTGAGTCCTCCGCATTTTTTACCTCTCAGACTTGTCCACACTGGGCCTTCTGCAGTTTGTCAGTTACAGTTTACATTTTCTTACCCCAGCACTGGTTCCTGCCAGGGTTTCTGCTTGTGGGTTTCTGCTCTGGCAAGCTGTGATTCTCTGTATTCACCTTTCCTATTTTTGGAGCAGCATTTAGCCCTGTGACTTCACTTCTCTGACAGATCTAAGAAGAGCCGTTGATTTTTCAATTTATTTTTCCTTGTTGTTCTGTTCTACTTTTTAATTCCACATTTTCTTTGTTGCAAGGCGAAGGACGCGCCTCATGAGGCTGAGATGGTGTTCACAGCAGGTCGCCCAACAGCGGTGGCCTTCCGGGCAAGCAGAGACTCGTGGCGGGAGCAGAAGGAGCAGCGCGCGGCCGCGACGGTGGGGGTTCTGATCGGCGTGTTTGCGCTGTGCTGGATCCCCTTCTTCCTGGCGGAGCTCATCGGCCCCCTCTGTGCCTGCAGCCTGCCCCCCATCTGGAAAAGCATATTCCTGTGGCTCGGCTACTCCAACTCTTTCTTCAACCCCCTGATTTACACAGCTTTCAACAAGGACTACAACAATGCCTTCAGGAGCCTCTTTTCTAAGCAGAGGTAGACACGGGGGTTGGAAAGACATGTGAGTTGTGAGGAGGGAGGGGACTTGTATTTCTCCTCCACCAGTGTTCTAGGACCCCTCCTCCCTCCACAGCTGAGTACTAATGATGTTTTGAGAGCCATGCCACGGGCCTGGACTGTGGAAGCAGCGGTGCCACAGGTTCTCAAGGAAACAGCGGAAGTGAGGCAAGCGTGTGACCACACCTTCTTCCCGTGTGCACGGCAGACATTACTAATCGGTCACAGCACAGTCGCCCCACTGAGCAGGAGCTCTGACTCAGAACCCTTTTCAGGACAGCACTTTAGGCAGTTAGTGCTGATTGATTAGAACTGACACAAGAGCTGAAGCTGCATTTGCCTTTCCTTGGTCAATAGCATATTCCTCAGAGAGGGTCTCTCAGCACAGGGCTCCAGTGGTCTGTTTTGTGGTCCACTCAGGAGACTGTCTCCTCTGTGAAAGAGCCCTCCCCACACCCTTTATCCATCAACTCCTATCTTCCCCAGCCTTTCGCACTTCCTCAAGGTGGCAGCGTATCCCAATTTGTGAGATGAGAGTCACCTGAACTTTTGTTAAACAGTGTTCAGTGCAACCCACAGCTACTGAATCAGACTCTCAAAGGAGAGGTCTGATAATCTATGTATTAAGTTCTCTAGATGTCTTTTTTTAAATCAGTGAGAGATGCTTCTGGATACTTAGGTTGCGCTGTTGACCGATTAAACTGGCATCCCTGGGGGTGCAACCCCCACAGCAGTGCTTTTGAAAATTTGCCAGGTGATTCCAATATGTAGCCAGAGTTGAGAACCCCTGGTGATGTTTTTTTCTCTGCTTTTTTTTTTTAACCACATGGGAGAGCAGCCGTGAGAAATTTTTCTCATTACGTCACCATACTGACTTGTATGTGTAATAAAAATACTTTTGAGGCATTCATTTCTAGGCTCAGAATCGTTCTTATTTATGGTGCAGACACGTGTATATGACATTGAGATGGGAAAAACGATGCCTATTGTAGGACTTAAAACACCAACAACCTCCCCCCTCCAAAAACTGCTATATTGGCTCTTGGTCTTCCAGAATATATTAAATGTGGCCCAGGTATATAGGAATTTACATCTACCGTGGTCATATCTACCTGATTTTGGAGATGGGCTGGCTGCCTATTGATTAGGCATTTTAAATTGCACAAAAAAGTCTACTCCACCATTGGCTCATTTGATGTCTGAGTTATATAGACATTCTTTACACTACACTATAAAATACCTATACTGTGGGGTTTATCAGAGAATTATAGATCCACAGTGCCTTTTCCAAAACATGTGGGACTGGATAAGTATCAGAATCCAGACCTTTTTTTAGGTTTTAGAAAGGCAAGGTGGTATAGCCTATAAATTAGGGAACACCCTTGGCTGGGTCTGGGTCTGGGGCAGCAGCCTGCAATCAACATCAACACCTGAATACTTTTGCAGTAAGGTGTATGCATATTTACATTGTGAGAGAAGAACTAAAACAGCCTTACATCACTGCAGGTCATTTGGGTCATATCAATTTTGTTGTCAAGTGAGTTAAAAACCTTTGTTTTCTGAACTTTTTGTATTTTTGCAATTGTGGATAAGGGATTATGGACTAGTATAACTTCAAACCATCCACAGTCTCAGCTTTCATGGGTCCCAGTCTTGTTAAGAGGGAATCTGGGAAGAATATGTGGTCCAACGAAATTGTTGGATGTTAGGACATCATAAAGGTAATTGGACAGCCTTCTTGGAGTCGTCTTTTGAAATTTTGTTCTTTTTTCATTTGAAGATACTATAAGAAACATTCTTATGAAACTCATCAATGCATTTCATATGAGGATGTAGTTAAAGTTATCCTATAAACTGTTTGTGAAAGCATGTTTTCTGTTCATGACAATCAGAATTATTGACTGTTTCTATTTTCATTTTGATCAGGAAGAAGCACGGAACCAAATTTCTAGCTTAACTTTGGAATTTATGTAGGATCTGGTAGCCTGCTTATTAGTCTATAACGTTTCTAGCCAGTTTATAATTCCAGCTTTTAGGTATTCCCTACCCTAGTGCTTTATGTTCTATAATATTTATATTTTATTATCTAATTTTGCTTATTTCCTACAAGCCACCTTAAATTCTGTAAATTAAGGCAGGGCAGTAAAAAGCAGATAGTTACGTAGTTATCAATGAAATGGTGTTCTCAGTCTTACATGGTTGTTGTCTTTGAAGGGCTAGAGCTCAAGCTTGGGTCTGCTGGGGTTTTTCCCTCCTTGGCTGAAAGACAATAGGGGGTGTTAATAATCTCCCCTGCCTCTCCCTTCATGAAACACGCATTCAGAAATACATTTTAAGAGCACTATTTCTTGAGCACCCACCATGTGCAGCCATTGGACTAGGTTTTATAGACAAATGATCTTTTACTCTTACATCCATCCTTCAAGTATAGTCTCCATTCAACTACATTCCAAGAGGGTAAGTAGCTTTCCCACAGTTACATAGTGAGTACATAGCAGTGAGGTATTTGGACTCTAGTCTGCCTGTATCCAAACATGACAAAGATGAAGGGAACCCAACAGAAATCCAATTCGACTCCATGTTTCACAAACTTTGGTTTGTGTTTTGTAGCACAAAACCTATGTGCCTTTGCAGGCTGCATCTGACAGTAGATCCTCTTGCATTATTCTAGTTGGATTCCAGGAAGAAAAAGCTTAGAGGAAGAGAGTGTAGGTATTATTGGGTGGACACCTATGTGATTTTTTGGTTTACTCTTGCTATTGGATAGGATGCTTTTATTATTGTTTATTTGGCCTGGGCTTTGACTTAATGTAGTGTCGTTATGGAAGCATCCCAGGCAACAGCTATGTTTAGAGTCCTCCTTTTCTTTTCTTTTTTTTTTTTTACTTACAACCTAGATTTTTCACACTTGAACCTTTTCTTCAGTGAATATGGCCTTCCCTGACTGCTCAGTATAATTATGAAATCCTGAATTTCTTAAAAAGATTACTTGATTGACTTTATGCAAGTATATACTTGTGATTCCTTTTAATTCAGAGTATACAAAATAGAAGTATGATCACAGTGTACTGATTTAGAGTATACAAAAAAATCTGATCTGCAATTAACATTCCAGGATCATCCTTGCTAAGTATAATGTCTTTGTTCTGCTTCCAATCCCTGAACATGACTAAGATGGAGTTGGGAAGCTGTAAGAGGAATTCTCCTTGTCTCTGTCTGATTTATTTACTGACTAAGGTGTCACTAAGGTGTCTTAGGGTCAGAATCCAATTCCACAGAGTTTCAGGCCTATAGGATGGACATGGATAACCTAATAGTTTTATTTTATAAAATTGGTCATGTATAACATATAAAGTATGCTACTTTTCTCCCCTTTAACATGGCCTCCGTGTTTCTTCTGGCATGTAAGAAGGGAAATTGGATTCTTATCATGATTGCTGTGCTCTGTGAACACATGTGGGTTCCATCCCCAAAAGCCTGCTCTTCTGGCCCCTTCACATTAATGTCTTTTAAATTCCAGGTCATGATCTATCATGAAATCAACTCAGTGGTTGTGTCAGTCAGCTATGTTAGCAATAACTGTATGCAATCACTACAAAGTTTCAGTGGTATATAGCAACAAACCTTTATTTCTTGCTCATATGGCTATGAATTGACTGGGATTTCACTGGCCTAGGCTGGGCTCTTCTGGGCTTGGCTTCAAGCTGCAGGCTGGGTCTAAGTCTGCTTCATACTTAAGCAGAGTACGTTCTTCTCAAGAGACATGGGCAAGAGTGCAAACCCAACCACACAAACACATTTTTCAAAACTTGTGTCAAATCTGCTAACAACCTGTAGGACAAGCAAAAGACCAAAGTCAGGGTGGGGAAGTACATTCCGCTGGTCATGACAAAGGTGTCTGCTACAGGTAAATGAAGAATGGAAACCAATAATTCAGTGCTCAGCATTTTTAAACAGTTAAGTAGAACAAGAAGAAAAAAATCAGAGTAGCGTAGTATTGAAAGGGTAGGTATTGTCCTGTAACACTTCTGTTTCAGTTATATTTTCATCTGGATTATTTACAGTGGTTTCTTAACTGGCATCCCGGCAGTCTGTAGTCAGCACAGACTCCAGAGGGATCCCTATTAAGTGGAAATCAGATCATGTAGCTTTTCTTCTCAAAATCCTCCAAAGGCTTCCCACATAGCACCCCCTTAATGTTCTGCAAATTCAGCTTCTGGGTACGTTCCTACCTCAGGGCCTTTACACTTGCTATTCCCCCTGCCTGGAATTTTCTTCACATAGGGTATCTATGTGACTCACTCCTCACTAGTGAGTGAGTGAGGCCTTGCCTGACTTCGCAAATATAAAATAGCAACCACCACCAAACCAGATACTCCTGATACTTCTTCCTTGCTTTAAGCAGCAAATTGAAGCAACTTATGATAAAATTGATGTATGTATCTTGTTTGCATTTTTTCCCCACTGGAGAGTAACTCTAGAAGGCAGGTTCTTTTGTCTGTTTGTTCACTGCTGTATTCCCAGGGCTAGACACATAGCAGAAACTCAAATATTTGTTGGTTTGAATGCACAAGTTAACAGGCATTTATTTTTCTTATGGAATAAGAAAATGAGGCAAGTGGTCCCCAGCTTGGTTCAGAAGCTCATCATGCCATCAGAGAGCCAGGCCAGGCCTTTTCCCTCTGCCAAGCTCAGTGTGTCGAGATGTCTCCTCTCATGGTCTCAAGATGGCAGAAGTTGCTCAAAGCTTGTCGTTCCTTGACAACTTGCAAAAACAGGAAGGGGAAGCAGAAGCTGTCCTAATGCATCTCTCACTGATGACCAGCAGGAAAGCCTTTCCTGGACCCCTCAGCAGTCTTCCCCCTCCTGGCCATGACTGAGTTAGACATCCACCCTGTAGAACAACTCTTGGCAAACAGAAATGAGATTTCCATGACTGTTAGCACAGCTGTGATGATTCTTCTCCTGGGGCTAGACACATGG